GGACCAACAGTGGTTTGTGGGCATAATGCTGATGTTTTCATTAGTGTTTTTTGCAGGGCTGGAGAACCTCAGCTAAGCAAACAGGCTTCAGTAAAATATTCACATTTGATGCAACTTAACAACAGATCTTTCCATTTTGGGGCACCAGGAAACAAATTACAATACAGATCGGGGCCAACAATTTTCACAAGGGGTGTATAGACTCGTGCAATTACTGTACATTATTTCTGCTGCTAATGTCATGTTTCAAGAGGAAATACATCAAATTAAGGAAGTCAGGTGTTCTTTGAGTTTTTAAATCAACACCCTCTCCTTTTTAACACTCATACACACTTTAATGTGACCTTTTTGTACAAATATCCAAAGCGGCAGCTGAGTTGATGGCCTACTGTGAAGCTCATGCAAAAGAGGACCCCCCCTGGTGACACTGACTCAGGAAAGCTGGACTGGACCATTGCCCTTTCACCCAGGCTTATAGAGGACTGGTAGAGAGCATCCTCACTACTGGCATCAAAGTCTAGTATGGTAACACTACATAGGCAGAGAGGTAGGCTCTTCAAAAGGTCATAAAAACTGCAGAGAGGATCACTGGGATTAAACTCCCTGCTATGGACACAATGTACACACAGTGCTGTTGTGAAAGAGCAGAAAATATAATCAGAGATTCACTCCACTCAGCTCACACTCTGCTCAGACACAAAAACTGCACCTCCAACCTCAGGCACAGTAGAGTGGACAGTATCATCACACACAGAACTAAACTTTACAACAGCTTTTTCCCTGCCTCAGTAAGACTGAGGGCAAATACAAAAATGTGAAAAACATGTGCAGTAACCCCTAGCTTACTAAGTGAAATATCATCCAATTCCACTATGTGAAATACTATGTGCAATATTTGAAATTCACCATCTTATCTATTATCTTATTTTTGTATTCACATTTTATACTATGTTATTCTTATGCAGATTTATTTTTAGACTAGGTGTTCTTTTTCTGGCTTTTAACTCTTTTCCTATATGCCTAGACTGTCTGTTGCATAAATGGCTAATTAAAATCTTGAAAATTTCACAGCATGAACATTCTCCATGCTTAAGCTGACACAGACATGCGTGGAAGAAAATTTGTTTAATATACTGCCTGAATAAACAACATGATCTTTACTCACATACTGTTTTTCTGCCTGAATTGCACAGCAGGTGTTCCCAGGAGGTTGTCCCTTAGCCACCAATACAAATAATGGGTTGGGCAAAAGTGGTGAAATTAGAGGTGCAGCCAGCAGGTGTGTGTAGTTTGCACAGAGCATGGTGCTCTCACTGTGACAGCTGACAAGTCTCACAGATTTCCAGATATCTCCTGAGCCTTGGGGAATTAGTAGCTGAAAATTAGGTATGTACACTCTGCTATCCATCTATTATATTGTAAATAAAGAATAAAGCTTAGCAGGAACAGTTTACTAATGCTTTAGATGTATAAATGATATTTGATATTTGCAGTTTAGTCTTTCGTACAATGTATTATAACCTCAAATCAGAAAAAGCCTCTGAGCCCAGAGCAGTCGACTGTGCTTCTGGACACTGTTGACATAGGGCTTTCTTTTGGCACAGTGCAGTTTTAAGAGGCATTTATGGATGTGTTTATTTTGAATCAAGAAAAAAATGATGAGGTATCACATCAAATAATGTGCTGCTGTATTGTTTTCAATGTGATACAGGACACAGATTCTCTATTTTCATTTTTAGTGACAAACATACTGGTTTTAGACAAAACCGATGTTTTGGCCCGAAACAAACTCCATCTCTTTCTATTCTTAGAAGTTATGCTTTCAAATGAGAATATTTCCAGCATTTTTATTTATGCCCATCATAAAAATGTGGCAAGAATTGTTTATTTGACTATATAACAGATTTACCTGCTACTTTGCAATACATGTGACTTGTCTCACTGTCAGCTGCTCATTTTAGTCGTCTTTCCTTTAATTGACATTGCTTATGATTAAATGGCTCAAAACATCATAAAATAAAGCTATGAGACTTAAAGTACCAAACTTTAACTTCAAAATGGAGCCATTCATATTCAAAAGAATAACACAACAGAGCTAAAATAATGCACATTGTCTTTCTCTCAAATAAGTGTTATTTAAAACTGATTTATGTTTCTTATGGTTTCAGGTCTAAAAAAAATGGCCAAATTTGAAGGACATGTCTTGCCTGGCACCTTTGTCCTGATCTATGGCTTTTGTCTAACAGTTAAACATGTCCTCCAACACTTATGGAGGACACATCAGCCCAAAGGACAACAGAATATGCCACCTTTTTTTAAAAGAACTGACTATGCTGAGGGAGGATTCCTAATCATTGCTGCATTTGTGGGTCAGTCTTTCTCTCAATCCAGCTACACACTTCAGCCCTCTATACCTGTTCTTGACTCATACTCATTTGGCTTATGTGTTCTTGCCACAGGTATCACGGTTGAATGGTTTGTAGTGGATGGGCCACATGTCTACTTCTACAGAAACGGTTCATGGGTCAACTTGCAGCACAGCACAATGTATCTGTTTTTTGGGATCAGTGGAATAGCAATGGTTGCCAGTACTAGATGCAAACTGGTGCCAACTGGTGTTGACCGCCTTGCTCTCTCTTTGGCTCTTTTTGTTGAAGGTAAGCTGTAAAGAAGCTAAGTTTTAATTGTGCAGTTTTCCTTCACATTGCAAATATGTCATATATATTTGATATGTGTTTGAGCTGTGTTTTGCATTTGAGTCTTTCTGTATCATCCAGGGTTTTTGTTCTATTACCATGTGCACAATCGGCCCCTTCTGGATGCCCATATCCACAAACTGGTGCTAGTGCCTGTGTTTGGTGGATCAGCTAGCACTATGTTGGAGGTGTTCATAAGAGATAACATTATTTTGGAGCTACTGAGGGCATGTCTGTTCATCCTGCAGGGCTCGTGGTTCTACCAGGTGATTAGCAAATGACACAAAATGTGAACATAATTTTTATTTATTAATTTTCAGATTCACAGCGGCTTGGTACCACATAGTACTGATGTACACTCAATACCAAAAATCTGGGAATAATTTTAAGACCACAGCAATGACTTTTAAAGTATACTTTAAACTACTGTTAACCATGCACCAAAAATATGATTTTCAGCCATATTTTGAACAGGCAACAGATGAATTGATTTTTATTATTTTTCAGTACCAAAATAGTTTGATCTTGGCGTATTTGTAGAAAGTTGAAGATTACTTTAGATTCAGATCACAGACAGGCTCCTTCATCACACTGTCATTTCAGATTGGATTTGTACTTTACCCATTACGTGGACCAGCGTGGGACTCAAACGATGGAAACGTCATGTTCATCACTGTGTGCTTCTGCTGGCATCTAGCTGTCGCCCTGCTTTTAGTCGCTTGCACCTACATCGTCGTTTGGAGGCAAGTATCAGTACGAGTACTACCAGTTCCTGCCACTGAAAAACATCCCCGCAGCATGATACTGCCACCACCATGCTTCACTGTAGGGATGGTATTGGCCAGGTGGTGAGCGGTGCCTGGTTTCCTCCAGACATTAGTTCAAGCTTTGTTTCATCAGACCAGAGAGCTTTGTTTCTTATGGTCTGTGAGTTCTTCAGGTGCCTTTTGGCAAACTCCAGGCGGGCTGCCATGTGCCTTTTACTGAGGAGTGGTTTCCGTCTGGCCACTCTAACATACAGGCCTGATTGATGGAGTGCTGCAGAGATGGATGTTCTTCTGGAAGGTTCTCCTTTCTCCACAGAGAAACGCTGGAGCTCTTTCAGAGTGACCATCAGATTCTTGGTCACCTCTCTTCTCTCTCGATCACTCAGTTTGGCCGGGCGGCCCGCTCTAGGAAGAGTCCTGGTGGTTCCAAACGTCTTCCATTTATGGATGATTGAAGCCATTGTGCTCATTGGGACCTTCAATGCTGCAGAAATTTTTCTGTACCCTTCCCCTGATCCGTGCCTTGATACAATCCTGTCTCGGAGCTTTACAGACAATTCCTTGGACTTCATGGCTTGGTTTGTGCTCTGACATGCACTGTTAACTGTGGGACCTTATATAGACAGGTGTATGCCTTTCCAAATCATGTCCAATCAACTGAATTTTTCACAGGTGGACTCCAATCAAGTTGTA